AGGAGCAGCAGGAGCAGCAGGAGGAGGAGCAGGAGGAGCAGGAGGAGCAGGAGGAGCAGGAGGAGCAGGAGGAGGAGCAGGAGCAGGAGCAGGAGTGTAGACTAGCATGAGTGCATTGCTCGGTGCACAGGTGCTTCAGACGACTGCCTAGACAAGTAAGTCCTCAATAATTGCAGGACTTCTGCTTGCCAACAAACGTATCTACCGGACCATCCTTCCAGTATTTGCGGGGATCCCAAGCCAAAAGTTCGGTTCATCCCGAAGTTCAACAGCTAGCACTGATCATGGTTTTTCATCATCCCCTTTATTAATGACCTACTGTTTTCAGGAAGCTGGCCATCCTTGTAAAATCGAGCTCCGAGGCCGGATGGCAAAGCTGCCTCCGGAGCTGGAAGCCGTGCAGGAGGCAGGGCACGCTGCACTTAGCTCTCGCCGCGCAGTGTCCAGCAGCTGCTCAGTGCCCGTAGCGGCGTAACGCAAATATATGCAAATAACACCGCCAGACCACGTTCATACATGTTCACACGTGGCAGTCCCATCGGAGAAGTGACCAAGCCCTCCTTCCTGCAAAAAACAGCTCACGATACATCATGAGGCAATTCAAACGTTCTGTGCCGGAGAGGCACTGCACGACCCGAATGTACCAGTGCCGCTTGTCTTCCAGTTTCAACCGGTCTGGCCTGCTATCCCGAGGCCCCGAACCCTAAAACCTGACACTAAAGGCAGAATTCGAGGGTTGCCAAGCCTTCACCTCAAACCCAGGCTGAAGAAAAACTCAAGCAAACCTAGAGACACCTTGATTGCCCGACACCACATGCCCAACAGGGTCCCGCACAGGAGTTGGCATCTTGGGTGGTTTACGGGCCACGGGCACTAACCCTCCTTGCGCAGCTGCGCGGCCTGGAGGCACGGGGTTTCGGCTTTCAGTTTAGTTCAGTGTCGCCGCGGTTTTAAATTAAGCTTAGGGCTTGCCGAGCATACCTGTCTTGAATTCGATTGTCTACATCTTTACATGAGGTGTCCGGCTATGGTCACAAAGATTCAGACTAAGGCCGGAGCCGAGTGCTCCAAGGAGATGAATCGAAATTGAATGGAGGGTTAACAACGAAGAGGTCTTTATGGCACATGTTTTCTTACGAGCTTCGAGCTTCTCAGGTAGTGTTGCTGCGTCAGCCTTGGCAACAGCTGTGCAAAACGGTTTGTTCACATGCCTGAAGCTTTTTACGTGCAAGCAATCGTCTGCCACGAAGCTCTTTCGGAACGCACGCTCGCACCGCAGAACAACACTTCAAGTGGCACGGTGTTGCTTCTTCTTGCAGAGACCGTGTGCTCCACATCGCATTCCGGGCCGTGTTCTGAAAGTGTCGTTTCCTAGGTTGTAAGTGCGGAGGTCTCGGTGGACCTGCTCCGAAAGACTCAACTCGGCCGCCTTGTGCGGAGATATCTTCACCATGATGAGGCTGTGATACTGAACAGTTCTGCAATTGTGGGTTTCTGCTAACTTGTGTTAGAGGGATCTCGCATGTCGTGCTCTCAAGTAGAGCTTTTCTTGCAAGATGCCGGGTGTGCTGACCTTTCGTAAGCTCTGTGGTCAGTCTGTCATCACTGAAGCCAGGGGGAAGGTTTTTACATTTCAGACAAGAGTGTTTCGAGGTCCAAGTCGTCACCAAGGCCAAAGGCCTGATCGAGGCACCTGGCTTCAGATTTTGAAGCTTCATAGGTTCCCAGTTCGAAGTTCATCGAGTTGGAATAAAGGCCGTCAGCTGGCTGCACCTCCTGCAGATGCTTTTTGCTTCTACATTGGGTAGGCTCTCAACACACCAGAAAACCCAGCGAGCTGAATCCAATTTGCATTCGGCATGGGGCCTAAGCCAAGCGGTTTGAGATGTGCAGATCCACCGCATGCCGCCTGACCCTGCAAGCGCGCGGTGAGTCCAACACGCCCGAACAAGCCTTGGGCCGAAGATGGGGGGCTGACTTCTGACGACTTCAGGACTGGAAACTCGTCCTCCGGGAGCATCTGACTCGGGCCAAGCCGGGGCCTCAAGGTCTCAAGATTGGCAGTCTTTGTTTCACCTGCCAGCGCAAGCTCTAGATTCCCGTGGTCCGCAATGTCCCCGTGCAGAGACATTGCTGCAGCCTTCGGGTCATACCGTTGTAGCGGGATCTCAATAAGTCGACTTGAGTGTATGCCACCGGTGCATGCCAGGGAAGCGCCAGCAGCCCAAAAGAAGGTGGCGGCGCTAAAGGAGTCAGACAGCCCCATGGCTCAACTGGAGGGTCCATCGGGTTTGGCTGGTGGAAGATTGTGAGTGTAGTGAGTATCGTAGGCTCCCGCCAACCACACACATTCTGTCAGAACCCTTGCTTGCAGCAGGGAAGTAAGCAGACTAGAGGAGTGCGTGCATGGTGTTACAGTAGGCCTCTGGGTGGCCCCGAGCCAGATAAATGTGGGGACGTCGTTAGAAGGGGCGTTAGGCTTCGAATTTAGCAAAGTTTGTTGAGCGTGTTTGCAGAATCCAAGTGTGGAGAGCCTCCCAGCCCTGTCTGTGGACAGCTTGTTTGCGTAGTCCATCCCGTTTACGTCTTGTGTGAATCTATTTTGGCAAGATCTGGCTAAAGTGTTGCGGCAGGTGAAGATGCCGGTGAGTCAGGACCAATTAGCAAGGAGGCCGAGGGTACGGGCTTTTGCTTCGACTTGGGGATTATGGCTTCACGTTCTTGGCAGTGGAGGCATCTTAGGAGGAGCGAAGGCTCAACCTTCTGCCAATAAGATTGAACACGATTGATGCTACGTGGCAGAGGAATCGCCCCAGCCCAGCGATGCTTTCGACAGGACCAAGCGCATGGCTGGGTGCAGAAGGAGGCCGTCTAAGGAGTAAAGAGAGTAAAGAGAACTTGTGGTCTTACCAGCTCCGCGCCCAAGCATGTCTTTCTGGGTAGTGGAGCTGCGGAAACTTAACGTCGGAGGCCTTTCACCAGTACCGTGGCAAGCGCGAGAAGTTCTGGGCCTTTACACTCCGCAGGCAGTGCTGCGATGCTTTCTGCACAGTGACCACTTGAAAGCAGCGACTTGCCCTGATCTGTGCAGGCCCTTTGGCAACGACACCTGGGTGCTCCAGGTTCGGGTGGCACAGCCCAAAAATGTCACACAGGAGGTGCGGGACAAAAAGCTGGAAGAGATCTCCGAGCTCTTGTTCCGCATGGCCGCGGACACAGGTGCCATTCGTCCAGACAGTTGTGAGGCCGGGGAAGAGAACCTGAAGACATTGGGACGACTGCAGCGCCTGGAGAAACGCTTCATCGGCAAGGGAGTTACCGAGAGCGAGGCCCGCAATGCCCTCCGCCTCTTCGAGCGGGAGTTGTCCAAGGCGAACTGGACGGCAGACAAGTTCGAGAAACTGAAGAAGCAGCTGGCAGGAACGGAAGAGTGGTCTGCCGCTGATGTGGTCGCCGAGAGCTCCATCCGGTGGGAGCAGAACAAGCGTCGCCAGGCCTAGAACGGGCTGTACCGAAATAGTTTCGATGGGAGCGCTGCGACTCCTGCTGCTGCTGCTGCTGCTGCTGCGGCTGCTGCGCGAGTTGCTACCGTACCATTACTAATTACTACGACAACAACAACAACTACAACTACTACTACTACTACTACTACTACTACTACTAGCACTAGCACTAGCACTAGCACTAGCACTAGCACTAGCACTAGCACTAGCACTAGCACTAGCACGACCAC